GCCAATCAGCAGCCAGCCAGCCAGCACTGTGTAATGGTGGAGCTATAAATTGCGGCCATCTTACAATTCTCCATTTGCCTCTGGTCATTCAAGAGAGACAGATCTCTCTGTATTAGGGACACAGAATCGTTACTTAGGGACACAGAACCGTTACTTAGGGACACAGAACCGTTACTTAGGGACACAGAACCGTTACTTAGGGACACAGAACCGTTACTTAGGGACACAGAACCGTTACTTAGGGACACAGAACCGTTACTTAGGGACACAGAACCGTTACTTAGGGACACAGAACCGTTACTTAGGGACACAGAATTGTTACTCAGAGGGACACAGAATTGTTACTCAGGGACAGACACAGAATTGTTACTGAGGACAGACACAGAATTGTTACTCAGGACAGACACAGAATTGTTACTCAGGGACACAGAATTGTTACTGAGGGACACAGAATTGTTACTCAGGACAGACACAGAATTGTTACTCAGGGACAGACACAGAATTGTTACTCAGGGACACAGAATTGTTACTCAGGGACACAGAATTGTTACAGGGGACACAGAATTGTTACTCGAGGGACACAGAATTGTTACTGAGGACAGACACAGAATTGTTACTCAGGACAGACACAGAATTGTTACTCAGGGACACAGAATTGTTACTCAGGACAGACACAGAATTGTTACTGAGGGACACAGAATTGTTACTGAGGGACACAGAATTGTTATGAGGGACAGACACAGAATTGTTACTGAGGGACAGACACAGAATTGTTACTGAGGACAGACACAGAATTGTTACTGAGGGACACAGAATTGTTACTGAGGGACACAGAATTGTTACTCAGGGACACAGAATTGTTACTCAGGGACACAGAATTGTTTACTGAGGGACACAGAATTGTTACTCAGGGACACAGAATTGTTACTCAGGGACACAGAATTGTTACTCAGGGACACAGAATTGTTACTCAGGGACACAGAATTGTTACTCAGGGACACAGAATTGTTACTCAGGGACACAGAATTGTTACTCAGGGACACAGAATTGTTACTGAGAGACACAGGTTACTGAGGGACACAGAATTGTTACTCAGGGACACAGAATTGTTACTCAGGGACACAGAATTGTTACTGAGGGACACAGAATTGTACTGAGGGACACAGAATTGTTACTCAGGGACACAGAATTGTTACAGGGACACAGAATTGTTACTGAGGGACACAGAATTGTTACTGAGGGACACAGAATTGTTACTGAGGGACACAGAATTGTTACTGAGGGACACAGAATTGTTACTGAGGGACACAGAATTGTTACTGAGGGGACACAGAATTGTTACTGAGGGACACAGAAGGTTACACAGACATTGTTACTCAGGGACACAGAATTGTTACTCAGGGACACAGAATTGTTACTGAGGGACACAGAATTGTTACTCAGGGACACAGAATTGTTACTCAGGGACACAGAATTGTTACTCAGGGACACAGAATTGTTACTGAGGGGGACACAGAATTGTTACTGAGGGACACAGAATTGTTACTGAGGGACACAGAATTGTTACTCTGAGGGACACAGAATTGTTACAGGGGACACAGAATTGTTACTCAGGGACAGACACAGAATTGTTACTGAGGGACACAGAATTGTTACTGAGGGACACAGAATTGTTACTGAGGGACACAGAATTGTTACTCAGGACATTGACACAGAATTGTTACTCAGGGACACAGAATTGTTACTCAGGGACAGACACAGAATTGTTACTGAGGGACACAGAATTGTTACTGAGGGACACAGAATTGTTTGAGGGACACAGTTGTTACTCAGTGTTACTGAGGGACACAGAATTGTTACTACTGAGGGACACAGAATTGTTACTCAGGACAGACACAGAATTGTTACTCAGGGACACAGAATTGTTTGTTACTCAGGGACACATAATCGTTGAATTAAAGAGTATGTCAGACAACATGCAGAGGAGTGGCAGAGGAGGCAATGTTTTAGGAGCGAGCAGACGTGGCAGCAGAGAGGAAGGGGTCGAGGCAGCACTAGTCGCAGCCAGAGGCCAGTGCTCCCGGTGTCATCCAGCGGTCGTGTCTCCACCGACAACCCTGCCGTCATCGATTGGTTGGCTCGGTCGTCTTCCTCTTCCCAGGTCACCTCTGACACCTACAGCCAACGGTCGGTGTGTACGTCAGACACAACCGTTAGTTGGCATGGCCCGGGAGCAAGCCCACTGAAATCACGTGTCCTCTACCTGCCCCTGTCCTTTGCTGTTCCCTCACCAAGCGAAGTATCGCATGCTGTGGGCTCAGCCCCACTGTACAGTGAGGAAGAGCTAACAGAGGGCGGTCAGGAACGGGGGGAGACATCCGCCTCTTCAGCAGCCAGGCGAAGAAGTACTGGCGAGGAGAGTGGCTCGGTAGCCGGTCTAGAGACAGGTCTGTCTCCTGACCCACACGCAGCCGAGGGGGCTAGTAGTGAGGCGGAGACCCCCTAATTGATGATGATGAGGCTGATCGCACTTGGCAGCCTCGTCGTCATCAGGCAATTTCTTCCGCATCATCAGGAGAAGAGGGTGCCAGCTTGGCAGCGAGCAAAACAGTCGGTGGGTTGCCCAGGAGGCAGCAGGGTCGCAGCAGTGTCAGTGGAGGCAAACGGCCACGGAGTAGAGCACCAGCTCCACTGCAGCCTACCACCACGGCCAGTAGTGGTGCCGGTGTGCACGGAGGAAGTAGCAGTCAGCCAGTGAGGAGTAGCGGGGGCAAAGTTTCCTACTCGGCGGTGTGGCAATTTTTCGTCAAGCCGCCCGAGGAAGTAAACGTAGCCGTATGTCGACTATGTGGCCAGAAAGTCAAGCGTGGCCAGGGGGCCCATGTTGGGACTACAGCGTTGCGTCAGCATATGCAGCGTCGCCATTCGGTGGCCTGGGAAAACCGTGATAAAGATACGGCGGTTCTGCCTGCCCCAGCCCCCGCTCCATCACCCGCTCCGTTACTTGCTCCGTCACCCGACGTCAATCGCCCTCTATCAGCCAGTCAAGGCTCCAACACCTCTGCTGAGGGGAGTTGTCGCTCGTTGGCATCTTCCGCTCGTTCAGATGCTCCTTCTCCTGCTACTCCTCTTCACGGATTTCCGTCAGCAGTCTTTTTTGGAATCCGTTTCCAAGAGACAACAGTTTGCGAGCACGCACCCGACGGTGCAAAAGCTGAACGTCCTCCTGTCCAAGTTGCTGGTGCTGCAGTCCCTCCCTTTCCAAGTGGTGGACTCAGCACCTTTCCGAGAAATGATGGCTTGTGCCGCGCCGCGGTGGAGAGTGCCAAGCCGTCATTTCTTCGCCAAAAAGGCAGTGCCAGCCCTGCATTCACATGTAGAAGAGATGGTGGGCCAGTCTTTGAGCATGTCGGTCTCTGCCAAAGTGCACGGCAGCGCCGACGTGTGGAGCTGTAACTACGGTCAGGGACAGTACATGTCATTTACGGCCCACTGGGTGAACGTGGTGCCGGCACAGCCGCACCAGCAACTTGGACAGGTCACGACGCTTTTGCCTCCACGTTTGCACGTCCTTGGTCCAGCAAAGATGTCCGCCTCTACCACCTCTTCTTCCGCCGTGTCCTCAGCCGCCACCCCCCGTGCCAAGTCCCATTACCCGACCGGCATATCACATGTGCAGGGCGCAACGGTGTCACGCTGTGCTGCACCTGGTATGCCTTGGCGAACGTAGTCACACAGGGGAGGAACTTCTGAGTGTAATGAACAGAGAAATCGACAGATGGCTGTCTCCGCGCAAACTGAAAATCGGAACCATGTTGACCGACAACGGAAAGAACATGGTGTCTGCTCTGCGTCAAGGAAGGTTGTGCCATGCGCCATGCATGGCTCACGTGTTCAATCTGGTTGTCAAGCGGTTCCTAAAATCCACCATCCCACTGCAAGACATCCTTAAAATGTCACGTAAACTTTGCATGCATTTCAGCCATTCCTACACCGCAAAGCACACCCTCCTTGAGCTGCAGCGGCAGAACGGAATTCCACAGCATCGCCTGATCTGCGACGTTGCAACAAGGTGGAATTCAACCCTACACATGTTAGACCGCCTTTACGAGCAGCGAAAGGCCATCACCGATTTCCTGATGTTACAAGCGGATAAAGGTACTCCCCTGTGTAACTTCGATGTCAGCCATTGGCAGCTCATGCGTGACACCTGCCGCTTGCTCAGGCCCTTTGAGGAGGCCACGCTATTCGTGAGTCAGGACTATGGGATGAACGACGTCATTCCTCTGTTGCACGTCCTGGAACAAATGCTGTTAACAATGGCTGGTCAGGGTGCGGTAGACGTGGCGCACAGATCTCAACGCCACATGACCCCTGTGGGGGCAGGACAGGAAGAAGAGGAGGAGGTAGAGGAGGACATTTGTGCTCAGGAATTATTGAGTGAAATGGGTGGTTTTTCCACTCAGCGGACAGGAGTGGAGGAGCAGGAGCATCTGGTAGAGGAGGAGGAGGAGGAGACAGAGGACCCAGACGCACCGTGGCAGTATGCTGTGGAGATGGAGGCAGGGAGTCCCTCGCATTCCTTGGCACAAATGGCCCATAGCATGCTCGGTTGCTTGCGTAGCGACAGCCGAATAATAACCATCAGACAGAGGGATGACTTTTGGCTGTCCACCTTGTTGGACCCTCGCTACCGTTCCAAAATGGTGGCCTTTTTCACACCTGCTGAGAGGGAGGCCAAAAATTACGTACTATAAAAAAACCACCTATGTAGTCAGTTGGTCTCTGCCTTTCTGCGCCAACGTCCATCCTCAGACACTGTGGGCCCTGTGCGCTCGCGTTCCGCTGCCATGGCAGCAGGGGAGGGGTGGGGTGGTAGGAGCAGTGTGCAGCAGCTCCACCAGCAGCGGCTGCCTCAGTCTGCAGTCGATGATGAGTAGCTTTCTTCACCAGCGCAGTGAGGAAACTACTAACCAGCCGCAGCAGCAGCAGCAGCAGCATCAGGTGGACCTGGAGCAGGAGCTCAAACAACAGGCTTGGGCCTACTTGGACAGCACCCTGCCAACCGAGGTAGACAATCCCCTTGACTACTGGGCAACGAAACTTGACCTTTGGCCCCAACTAGCTGAATTTGCCCTTGAAAGGCTGTCATGCCCGGCCAGTAGCGTGGCATCGCAGCGCGTGTTTAGTGCGGCAGGAGGTATTGTAACTCCGCGGAGGACACGACTGTCCACCCAAAGTGTGGAGAGACTCACGTTTGTGAAAATGAATCAGGCGTGGATTAGTCTGGATTTCAAACCACCAGTTCCTGACACAACTGACTAAATCCGCCATGAATCATGCCCCTGCCATGTGCCACTTTCAGGTCTCCTCACACTGCTGCTGTGTTCCATTTTGTCATAGAGTGCTGGCAGATTACGGGCCGCCTCCCATAGCTGCTGCCAGGCCCCTAATCTGCCATGGGCCCCCGTACCGCCTCCTCACGCTGCTGCCAGGTCCACAGTGTGTCATGCCATGTGCCACTTTCAGGTCTCCTCACACTGCTGGTGTGTTCCATTTTGTCATAGGGTGCTGGCAGATTACGGGCCTCCCATAGCTGCTGCCAGGCCCCTAATCTGCCATGGGCCCCCGTACCGCCTCCTCACGCTGCTGCCAGGTCCACAGTGTGTCATGCCATGTGCCACTTTCAGGTCTCCTCACACTGCTGCTGTGTGTTCCATTTTGTCATAGGTGCTGGCAGATTACGGGCCCCCCATTGCTGCTGCCAGGCCCCTAATCTGCCATGGGCCCCCGTACCGCCTCCTCTCACGCTCCACTGCCAGGTCCACAGTGTGTCATGCCATGTGCCACTTTCAGGTCTCCTCACACTGCTGGTGTGTTCCATTTTGTCATAGGGTGCTGGCAGATTACGGGCCTCCCATAGCTGCTGGGCCAGGCCCCTACGCTGCTGCCATCTGCCATGGGCCCCCGTACCGCCTCCTCATGCTGCTGCCAGGTCCACAGTGTGTCATGCCATGTGCCACTTTCAGGTCTCCTCACACTGCTGCTGTGTTCCATTTTGTCATAGGGTGCTGGCAGATTACGGGCCTCCCACATTGCTGCGGCCAGGCCCCTAATCTGCCATGGGCCCCCGTACCGCCTCCTCACGCTGCTGCCAGGTCCACAGTGTGTCATGCCATGTGCCACTTTCAGGTCTCCTCACACTGCTGCTGTGTTCCATTTTGTCATAGGGTGCTGGCAGATTACGGGCCTCCCCATAGCTGCTGCTGCCAGGCCCCTAATCTGCCATGGGCCCCCGTACCGCCTCGCCTCCTCACTGCTGCTGCCAGGTCCACAGTGTGTCATGCCATGTGCCACTTTCAGGTCTCCTCACACTGCTGCTGTGTTCCATTTTGTCATAGGGTGCTGGCAGATTACGGGCCTCCCATAGCTGCTGCCAGGCCCCTAATCTGCCATGGGCCCCCGTACCCGCCTCCTCACGCTGCTGCCAGGTCCACAGTGTGTCATGCCATGTGCCACTTTCAGGTCTCCTCACACTGCTGCTGTGTTCCATTTTGTCATAGGGTGCTGGCAGATTACGGGCCTCCCATAGCTGCTGCCAGGCCCCTAATCTGCCATGGGCCCCCGTACCGCCTCCTCCGCCTCCTCACGCTACTGGGCCAGGCCTCCCATTGCTGTCCACATGCCATGCCATGCCACTTTCAGGTCTCCTCACACTGCTGGTGTGTTCCATTTTGTCATAGGGTGCTGGCAGATTACGGGCCTCCCATAGCTGCTGCCAGGCCCCTAATCTGCCATGGGCCCCCGTACCGCCTCCTCACGCTACTGCCAGGTCCACAGTGTGTCATGCCATGTGCCACTTTCAGGTCTCCTCACACTGCTGCTGTGTGTTCCATTTTGTCATAGGGTCATGCTGGCAGATTACGGGCCTCCCATAGCTGCTGCCAGGCCCCTAATCTGCCATGGGCCCCCGTACCGCCTCCTCACTGCTGCTGCCCAGGTCCACAGTGTGTCTCCATGCCACACTTTCATGTGCCACTTTCAGGTCTCCTCACACTGCTGCTGGTCCATTTTGTCATAGTGTGCTGGCAGATTACGGGCCTCCCATTGCTGCTGCCAGGCCCCTAATCTGCCATGGGCCCCCGTACCGCCTCCTCACGCTGCTGCCAGGTCCACAGTGTGTCATGCCATGTGCCACTTTCAGGTCTCCTCACACTGCTGTGTCTCCTTCCTGTGTGTTCCATTTTTTGTCATAGGGTGCTGGCAGATTACGGGCCTCCCATAGCTGCTGCCAGGCCCCTAATCTGCCATGGGCCCCCCCTCCTCCGCTGCTGCTGCCAGGTCCACTGTCTCATGGGTCCCTGCCAGCCTCCCACAGTGTGTCATGCCACACTCTGTGCCACTTTCAGGTCTCCTCACACTCACACTGCTGCTGTGTTCCATTTTGTCATAGGGTGCTGGCAGATTACGGGCCTCACATTGCTGCTGCCAGGCCCCTAATCTGCCATGGGCCCCCGTACCGCCTCCTCATGCTGCTGCCTGCCAGGTCCACAGTGTGTCATGCCATGTGCCACTTTCAGGTCTCCTCACACTGCTGCTGTGTTCCATTTTGTCATAGGGTGCTGGCAGATTACGGGCCTCCCATTGCTGCTGCCAGGCCCCTAATCTGCCATGGGCCCCCGTACCGCCTCCTCACGCTGCTGCCAGGTCCACAGTGTGTCATGCCATGTGCCACTTTCAGGTCTCCTCACACTGCTGCTGTGTTCCATTTTGTCATAGGGTGCTGGCAGATTACGGGCCTCTCCCATTCTGCTGCCAGGCCCCTAATCTGCCATGGGCCCCCGTACCGCCTCCCTCACTGCTACTGCCAGGTCCCATTGTGTGTCATGCCATGTGCCACTTTCAGGTCTCCTCACACTGCTGCTGTGTTCCATTTTGTCATAGGGTGCTGGCAGATTACGGGCCTCCCATTGCTGCTGCCAGGCCCCTAATCTGCCATGGGCCCCTGTACCGCCTCCTCACGCTGCTGCCAGGTCCACAGTGTGTCATGCCATGTGCCACTTTCAGGTCTCCTCACACTGCTGCTGTGTTCCATTTTGTCATAGGGTGCTGGCAGATTACGGGCCTCCCATGCTGCTGCCAGGCCCCTAATCTGCCATGGGCCCCCGTACCGCCTCCTCACGCTGCTGCCAGGTCCACAGTGTGTCATGCCATGTGCCACTTTCAGGTCTCCTCACACTGCTGCTGTGTTCCATTTTGTCATAGGGTGCTGGCAGATTACGGGCCTCCCATTGCTGCGCCAGGCCCCTAATCTGCCATGGGCCCCCCGTACCGCCTCCTCACGCTGCTGCCAGGTCCACAGTGTGTCATGCCATGTGCCACTTTCAGGTCTCCTCACACTGCTGTGCCACTTGGTTCCATTTTGTCATAGGGTGCTGGCAGATTACGGGCCTCACATTGCTGCGGCCAGCCCCCCTAATGGGCCCCATGGGCCTCCCCTGTCCACAGTGTGTCCGCCTCCTCACGCTGCTGCCATTGTCCACAGTGTGTCATGCCATGTGCCACTTTCAGGTCTCCTCACACTGCTGCTGTGTTCCATTTTGTCATAGGGTGCTGGCAGATTACGGGCCTCCCATTGCTGCGGCCAGGCCCCTAATCTGCCATGGGCCCCTGTACCGCCTCCTCGCTGCTGCTGCCAGGTCCCAGTGTGTCATGCCATGTGCCACTTTCAGGTCTCCCACACACACTCAGGCTGCTGGGTTCCATTTTGTCATAGGTGCTGGCAGATTACGGGCCTCCCATTGCTGCGGCCAGGCCCCTAATCTGCCATGGGCCCCTGTACCGCCTCCTCACGCTGCTGCCAGGTCCACAGTGTGTCATGGGTCCCTGTCCCCGCCTCCCATTGCTGCTGTCTCCATCGCCACACTCTGCCATGTGCCACTTTCAGGTCTCCTCACACTCCTGCTGGTTCCATTTTGTCATAGGATGCTGGCAGATTACGGGCCTCCCATTGCTGCGGCCAGGCCCCTAATCTGCCATGGGCCCCTGTACCCCCGCCTCCTCTGCTGCTGCCAGGTCCACAGTGTGTCCCATGCCATGTGCCACTTTCATCGCCACACTCTGCCATGTGCCACTTTCAGGTCTCCTCACACTGCTGCTGGGTTCCATTTTGTCATAGGATGCTGGCAGATTACGGGCCTCCCATTGCTGCGGCCAGGCCCCTAATCTGCCATGGGCCCCTGTACCGCCTCCTCACGCTGCTGCCAGGTCCACAGTGTGTCATGGGTCCCTGTACGGCCTCCCATTGCTGCTGTCTCCATCCATCGCCACACTCTGCCATGTGCCACTTTCAGGTCTCCTCACACTCCTGCTGGGTTCCATTTTGTCATAGGATGCTGGCAGATTACGGGCCTCCATTGCTGCGGCCAGGCCCCTAATCTGCCATGGGCCCCTGTACCCCCGCCTCCTCACGCTGCTGCCAGGTCCACAGTGTCTCATGGGTCCCTGTGTACGGCCTCCCATTGCTGCTGCTGTCTCCATCGCGCCACACTCTGCCATGTGCCACTTTCAGGTCTCCTCACACTGCTGCTGGGTTCCATTTTGTCATAGGATGCTGGCAGATTACGGGCCTCCCATTGCTGCGGCCAGGCCCCTAATCTGCCATGGGCCCCTGTACCGCCTCCTCTGCTGCTGCCAGGTCCACAGTGTGTCATGGGCCCCTGTACCCGCCTCCCATTGCTGCTGTCTCCATCGCCACACTCTGCCATGTGCCACTTTCAGGTCTCCTCACACTCCTGCTGGTTCCATTTTGTCATAGGATGCGTGGCAGATTACGGGCCTCACATTGCTGCGGCCAGGCCCCTAATCTGCCATGGGCCCCTGTACCGCCTCCTCATGCTGCTGCCAGGTCCACAGTGTGTCATGGGTCCCTGTACGCCTCCCATTGCTGCTGTCCATCGCCACACTTTGCCATGTGCCACTTTCAGGTTCCTCACACTGCTGCTGGGTTCCATTTTGTCATAGGATGCTGGCAGATTACGGGCCTCCCCATTGCTGCGGCCAGGCCCCTAATCTGCCATGGGCCCCTGTGTACCGCCTCCTCACGCTGCTGCCAGGTCCACAGTGTGTCATGGGTCCCTGTACGGCCTCCCATTGCTGCTGTCCTCCATCGCCACACTCTGCCATGTGCCACTTTCAGGTCTCCTCACACTCCTGCTGGGTTCCATTTTGTCATAGGATGCTGGCAGATTACGGGCGGCCTCCCATTGCTGCGGCCAGGCCCCTAATCTGCCATGGGCCCCTGTACCGCCTCCTCCTGCTGCCTCCTCATGCTGTCCCTGTACCAGGTCCACAGTGTGTCATGCCATGCCATGGTGCCACTTTCAGGTCTCCTCACACTCCTGCTGGGGTTCCATTTTGTCATAGGATGCTGGCAGATTACGGCCTCTCCCATTGCTGCGGCCAGGCCCCTAATCTGCCATGGGCCCCTGTACCGCCTCCTCACGCTGCTGCCAGGTCCACAGTGTGTCATGGTCCCTGTACCGCCTCCCATTGCTGCTGTCTCCATCGCCACACTCTGCCATGTGCCACTTTCAGGTCTCCTCACACTCCTGCTGGGTTCCATTTTGTCATAGGATGCTGGCAGATTACGGGCCTCCCATTGCTGCGGCCAGGCCCCTAATCTGCCATGGGCCCCCTGTACCGCCTCCTCATGCTGCTGCCAGGTCCAGTGTGTCAGTGTCCCTGTGCCTCCCATGCCATGTGCCACTTTCAGGTCTCCTCACACTGCTGCTGGGTTCCATTTTGTCATAGGGGTGCTGGCAGATTACGGGCCTCACATTGCTGCGGCCAGGCCCCTAATCTGCCATGGCCTGTACCGCCTCCTCACGCTGCTGCCAGGTCCACAGTGTGTCATGGGTCCCTGTACCGCCTCCCATTGCTGCTGTCTCCATCGCCACACTCTGCCATGTGCCACTTTCAGGTCTCCTCACACTCCTGCTGGGTTCCATTTTGTCATAGGATGCTGGCAGATTACGGGCCTCCCATTGCTGCGGCCAGGCCCCTAATCTGCCATGGGCCCCTGTACCCGCCTCCTCATGCTGCTGCCAGGTCCACAGTGTGTCATGCCATGTGCCACTTTCTGTGTCTCCTCACACTGCCTGCTTTCAGGTTCCACTGCTGCTGGGTTCCATTTTGTCATAGGATGCTGGCAGATTACGGGCCTCACATTGCTGCGGCCAGGCCCCTAATCTGCCATGGGCCCCTGTACCGCCTCCTCACGCTGCTGCCAGGTCCACAGTGTGTCATGGGTCCCTGTACGGCCTCCCATTGCTGCTGTCTCCATCGCCACACTCTGCCATGTGCCACTTTCAGGTCTCCTCACACTCCTGCTGGATTCCATTTTGTCATTGCTGGCAGTCATAGGATGCTGGCAGATTACGGGCCTCTCCCATTGCTGCGGCCAGGCCCCTAATCTGCCATGGGCCCCTGTACCGCCTCCTCACGCTGCTGCCAGGTCCACAGTGTCTCATGCCATGTCCCTGTTCAGGCCTCCCATTGCTGCTGGTTCCATCGTCATACTCTGCCATGTGCCACTTTCAGGTCTCCTCACACTGCTGCTGGCCCCATTTTGTCATAGGATGCTGGCAGATTACGGGCCTCCCCACATTGCTGCGGCCAGGCCCCTAATGTGCCATGGGCCCCTGTACCGCCTCCTCATGCTGCTGCCAGGTCCACAGTGTGTCATGCCATGTGCCACTTTCAGGTGTCCTCACACTGCTGCTGGTTCCATTTTGTCATAGGATGCTGGCAGATTACGGGCCTCACATTGCTGCGCAGGCCCCTAATCTGCCATGGGCCCCTGTACCCTCCTCTGCCTCCTCATGCTGCTGCCAGGTCCACAGTGTGTCATGCCATGTGCCACTTTCAGGTCTCCTCACACTCCTGCTGGATTCCATTTTGTCATAGGATGCTGGCAGATTACGGGCCTCACATTGCTGCGGCCAGGCCCCTAATCTGCCATGGGCCCCTGTACCGCCTCCTCACGCTGCTGCCAGGTCCACAGTGTGTCATGGGTCCCTGTACCGCCTCCCATTGCTGCTGTCTCCATCGCCACACTCTGCCATGTGCCACTTTCAGGTCTCCTCACACTCCTGCTGGGTTCCATTTTGTCATAGGATGCTGGCAGATTACGGGCCTCCCATTGCTGCGGCCAGGCCCCTAATCTGCCATGGGGGCCCCTACCGCCTCCTCATGCTGCTGCCAGGTCCACAGTGTGTCATGCCATGTGCCACTTTCAGTGTCCTCACAGGTTCCATTTTGTCATAGGATGCTGGCAGATTACGGGCCTCACATTGCTGCGGCCAGGCCCCTAATCTGCCATGGGCCCCTGTACCGCCTCCTCATGCTGCTGCCAGGTCCACAGTGTGTCATGCCATGTGCCACTTTCAGGTCTCCATCACACTGCTGCTGTGGTTTTCCACTGCTTTGGGTTCCATTTTGTCATCATAGGATGCTGGCAGATTACGGGCCTCACATTGCTGCGGCCAGGCCCCTAATCTGCCATGGGCCCCTGTACCGCCTCCTCACGCTGCTGCCAGGTCCACAGTGTGTCATGCCATGTTGCCACTTTCAGGTCTCCTCACACTGCTGCTGGGTTCCATTTTGTCATAGGATGCTGGCAGATTACGGGCCTCACATTGCTGCGGCCAGGCCCCTAATGTGCCATGGGGCCCCCCTGTACCGCCTCCTCACGCTGCTGCCAGGTCCACAGTGTGTCATGGGTCCCTGTACGGCCTCCCATTGCTGCTGTCTCCATCGCACACTCTGCCATGTGCCACTTTCAGGTCTCCTCACACTCCTGCTGGATTCCATTTTGTCATAGGATGCTGGCAGATTACGGGCCTCACATTGCTGCGGCCAGGCCCCTAATCTGCATGGGCCCCTGTACCGCCTCCTCACGCTGCTGCCAGGTCCACAGTGTGTCATGGGTCCCTGTACGCCCCCCATTGCTGCTGTCTCCACATCGTGTGTCACTCTGCCATGTGCCACTTTCAGGTGTCCTCACACTGCTGCTGGGTTCCATTTTGTCATAGGGTGCTGGCAGATTACGGGCCTCACATTGCTGCAGCCAGGCCCCTAATCTGCCATGGGCCCCTGTACCGCCCTCATGCTGCTGCCAGGTCCACAGTGTGTCATGCCATGTGCCACTTTAGGTGTCCTCACACTGCTGCTGGGTTCCATTTTTTGTCATAGGGTGCTGGCAGATTACGGGCCTCACATTGCTGCGGCCAGGCCCCTAATCTGCCATGGGCCCCTGTACCGACTCCTCATGCTGTGACGTTGCAACAAGGTGGAATTCAACCCTACATATGTTAGACCGCCTTTACGAACAGCGAAAGGCCAGCACCGATTTCCTGATGTTACAAGCGGATAAAGGTACTCCCCTGTGTAACTTAGATGTCAGCCATTGGCAGCTCATGCGTGACACCTGCCGCTTGCTCAGGCCCTTTGAGGAGGCCACGCTATTCGTGAGTCGGCAGGACTATGGGGGATGAACGACGTCATTCCTCTGTTGCATGTCCTGGAACAAATGCTGTTAACAATGGCTGGTCAGGGTGCGGTAGACGTGGCGCACAGATCTCAACGCCACATGACCCCTGTGGGGGCAGGACAGGAAGAAGAGGAGGAGGTAGAGGAGGACATTGGTGCTCAGGAATTATTGAGTGAAATGGGTGGTTTTTTCCTCACTCAGCGGACAGGAGTGGAGGAGCAGGAGCATCTGATAGAGGAGGAGGAGGAGGAGACAGAGGACCCAGACGCACCGTGGCAGTATGCTGTGGAGATGGAGGCAGGGAGTCCCTCGCATTCCTTGGCACAAATGGCCCATAGCATGCTCGGTTGCTTGCGTAGCGACAGCCGAATAATAACCATCAGACAGAGGGATGACTTTTGGCTGTCCACCTTGTTGGACCCTCGCTAACGTTCCAAAATGGTGGCCTTTTTCACACCTGCTGAGAGGGAGGCCAAAATAAAGTACTATCAAAACCACCTATGTAGTCAGTTGGTCTCTGCCTTTCTGCGCCAACGTCCATCCTCAGACACTGTGGGCCCTGTGCGCTCGCGTTCCGCTGCCATGGCAGCAGGGGAGGGGTGGGGTGGGGTGGTAGGAGCAGTGGCAGCTCCACCAGCAGCGTGGGTCCCTGTACGGCCTCCCATTGCTGCTGTCTCCATCGCCACACTCTGCCATGTGCCACTTTCAGGTCTCCTCACACTGCTGGTGGGTTCCATTTTGTCATAGGGTGCTGTATGGCCTCCCATTGCTGCTGCCTCCACCGCCACACTGTGGCTCCACACTCTGGTTTTGGCCCCGTGACTGGCCAAATGAGTGAAGTGTGCGGTGATTCTAAGATCGACGGCACTCATCTGCATGTCATACTGACTGACAGTATTATTTCTCTTCCCCAGCAGACTCCAAGGGCATTTAAATTAAAGGTACAGTGTTCTGCACTAATATAAAGGCTCTCTGAAGCCTAGAAACACCCTTTTATAAGTTAAAATCGCAGCGAATATATTCGACTCGAATCAAATTTTTTTCACGAATTCGCCGAATCATTCGAATCAAATTTTTGAATACTTCGCTCATCTCTAATCATTACCAGTCTCACTAGTGTCACCAGCAACAATGGTACCATTTCACCAGTGCAGCCATAAGCATCTTTACCAGTGTCACCAGTACAGTCAGCAACATCTTTACCAGTGTCACCAGTACAGCCAGCAGCACCAGTGTCACCAGTACAGCCAAAAACATATTTACCAGTGTCAACAGTGCAGCCAGCAACACCTTTACCAGTGTGTCACCAGTGCAGCCAGAAACATCTTTACCAGTGTCACCAGTACAGCCAGCAGCACCAGTGTCACCAGTACAACCAGAAACATCTTTACCATTGTCACCAGTACAGCCAGAAACATCATTACCAGTCTCACCAGTTCAACCAGCAACAATGGTACCAATTTCACCAGTGCAGCCAGAACCATCTTTACCAGTGTCACCAGTACAGTCAGCAACACCTGTACCAGTGTCACCAGTATAGCCAGAAACATCTTTACCAGTGTCACCAGTGCAACCAATAGCACCTGTACCAGTTTCACCAGTACAGCCAGAAACATATTTACCAGTGTCAGCAGTGAAGCCATCTGATGTACCAGTTTCATCAGTGCAATCAGCAACATCTGTATTCCCATCTGTGTTCCCAATGCAGCCTACAACACCTGTACCTGATCGCCTTCTCACCAGTATCTGATCACGATCACACCAGTACGGTGTCACCGTAGCCAGCGTAACCTGATCACCAGTCAGAACCTGTCCTGAGTACCATGTCATAAATAAAGGCTCACGAGTGAGAATGTCTTTTGTGTTTCTGGCTGTACTGTATGTATGAGGGCCACCAGGTACACATATGACTTTTGCATTTATGAAGTAAAATATGGCCTCCTGGAGCCCCCTGGATGCCCAACGTATATGGGTAGCAGTGGAAAAATAGTGTGGGACCTTACATCATCTTGTTCTATCAGGGAAACCACCTCTATGTGAGAAAATGTTAAACCGGCCTGCCACATTTCTAACACCTGACATATTGGTAGCTTATGTTACAGTGTGACCAGATCACAAGGGCTTTCCATAAAGATTGGTCACCAAGAGGCTAAAATGGGAGGAGTCATAAAGTTTGCAGAATGAAGAAAAACTTTGGTCCTTAAATGGAAGGATAGGTGAGATATCTATACTATATTGCCAAAAGTATTGGTCAGCCTGCCTTTACACACACATGAATTTAATGGCATCTTGTCTTAGTCCGTAGGGTTCAATATTGAGTTGGCCCCGCCCTTTTGCAGCTATAACATCTTCAGCTCTTCTGGGAAGGCTGTCCACAAGGTTTAGGAGGGTGTCTATGGGAAGGTTTGACCATTCTTTCAGAAGCGCATTTGTGAGGTCAGGCACTGATGTCAGACGAGAAGGTCTGGCTGGCTTGCAGTCTCCACTCTAATTCATCCCAAAAGTGCTCTATTGGGTTGAGGTCAGAACTCTGTACAGGCCAGTCAAGTTCCTCCACCCCAGACTGGCTCCTCCATGTCTTTATGGACCTTGCTTTGTGCAGTGGTATGCAATCATGTTGGAACAGGAAGGGGCCATCCCCAAACTCTTCCCACAAAGTTGGGAGCATGAAATTGCCCAAAATGTCTTGGTGTGCTGACGCTTTAAGAGTTCTCTTCACTGGAACTAAGGGGCCAAACCCAACCCCTGAAAAACACCCTACATCATAATCCCCCCTCCACCAAACTTTACACTTGGCACAATGCAATCAGTCAAGTACCATTCTCCTGGCAACCGCCAAACCCAGACACATCCATTGGATTGTCAGACAGAGAATTGTGATTCATCACTCCAGAGAACATGTCTCCACTCTTCTAGAGTCCTGTGGTAACATGCCAGGTACACATACAGGTATGCCTTTTGCATTTATGAAGTAAAAGATAGCCGCCTGGAGCCCCCATGATGCCCAATTTATATGGGTATCAGTGGAAAAATAGTGTGGGACCTTACATCACCCATGTTCTATCAGGGAAACTACCTCTATATGATAACATTTTATACCAGCCTGCCACGTTTCTGATACCTGACATATCGGCCTTAAATGAAAGGATAGGTGGGATGTCTATGTCCTTTCTTCCATCCACGAAGACACCTCAGTGCTCAGTCCGGTGCAAAAATCTCAGTGCGTACACAAATACAATCTAAACATCAGAGGTGTAGATTTAAATGACCAATTGATGAAACCCATCACTGACCCATCTTCACATCCCAATGACTATGTTCCTGAGAAACACTAGTTCCATCCATCCTCTGTGGACAACTGCACTACTGGAACTACAGGTAAACTGCACTACTGGAACCACAGGTACTCTTTTGTTTACCCTTTGTTCAGCCTCCTGTACTTCCTGGCCAGTGAACATAGCATTTTGCTATGGGGCAGCCATGTACCAATAGATCAGGACTACTTCACTTTTAGGAACAGGGATGGCTGTAGGTGAAGCTATATTATGCTGTCTTCCCTGACCACTAATATAGAGATGATCATTACAGTACATTCTTTTCTGTACAGTGTTAGTTGGTTTTTGTGATACACAAGATGCAATTTTGACTACATAATCAGTCCAAGCATTGAAAAAGTCTTAAACATGTGGAATCTCCATACCTGGCAGGAGTAATAGAATGGGTTTTTGGGATGTAACTCTAAGTATCTCCATGCCGTGTATTAGAAATATCTTATTAATCGACAACTTTTGTGTAAAAAAATATATATTTTTTCATTTTCTTTCTACATTTTCAAAAACTTATAACAAAAAAATAACATTTCCAAAAGCCTTACTACGCATTTTAAAAATATGACAGGATGTTTACTTTCTAAATATGGCTATTTTATGGATGTTTTCACTGTCCAGGTACTCCAAGGCCTTCAAAAATGTAATATGTAGTGAGGAAATTACATGTGTAATATATGCCCCAAGAAAGCCTGGAGGTGCTCGTTAGATTTTGGGCCTCTCTATGTGGCTAGGCTGTTAAAAAGTCTCACACGTGGTATTCCCATACTTGGGAATAGTAGAAGAATGTATTTTAGGGTGTAATTCTATATATGCCTATGCTGTGTGTTAGAAGCTTCCTACTAATTGACAACTTTGTGCAAAAAAAAAAAAAAAAAAATAATTTTCATTTTATTTCCTCATTTTCAAAACACATGTAGCAAAAAATTATATGTTCAAAAGAATCATTATATCTCTTATAAAATACCTTGCTGTGTTTGCTTTCTACAATGTGGTCATTATGTAGGTGTTTCCATTGTCCTTGTGCTAAGTAGTAATAATGGGCCGAACACTGCCCTGTTCAGTTTGTGGTCGAACATCCGAACCTACAGAATGTTTGACCGCGAACTTTGAACATGAACCGAACAATATCCTGAGCAGTATCTTACCGCATCTGAGTATGTAGTAAGATAACGCTCAGTTACTGAAATACAGCATGAATTATTTTACGAAGTCAGGTGGTATTTTAGTAGTGAGACATTCATTCATGTTCCAGCTGTCAGTGGGGTTCCACGCTGACAGCTGAATGTCAAATTAATTGTTGGGATTTCCTGACAATTAAAAAAAATATCAAAAAACTGGCGTGGGGTCCCCCCACCCATCCATACCAAGCCCTTTTTTAAAAATGGCGTAGGCGCCCACCCAAAATCTATACCAGACCCTTTTCCGAGCATGCAGCCCAGCAGGTCAGGAAAGCGGCGGACGAGTGAGCTCTGAACCATACCAGGCCACATTCCCTCAACATGGGGGGTGCTTTGGGGTGGGGGGCTCCCCCCAAAGCACCTTGACCCATGTTGATGGGAACAAGGGTCTCTTCCCCACAACTGTGCCCTGTGGTTGTGGAGGTCTGTGGACGGGTGGCTTATTGGAATCTGGGAACCCCCTTTAACAAGGGGACCCCCAGATCCCGCCCCCTCCATTGTGGATGAGCATGCAGTACATGGTACCGCTGCCCATTCACAAAAAGAAAAGTGTAGATTAAAAAAAGACAGGAGAAAGTCTTTGACAAGTCCTTTATTAAAAATAAAAATTAAAAAAGGTCCCCGGAAGTAGATCCAACATCAGTCACGATGCCCAAAAAAGAAAAAAAGAAAACACTCCTGTCAGGGATCCCCTCGATCCCCGCCGCGATGGTCCCAGCGCAGGCGCAGTATGCCACCCTGTGCAGGGACGCGGGCTCTAGGTCCAGGCCGGCCGCGGCGCGTGAGTTCGCGCATGCGCAATAGGAACCGCGGCCGCCCGCTGGGCACCAATGGCAGCGCAGGGCGCGATATTTAAACGGCCCTGAGCTGTCATTCGGTGCCTTCTGGTCTTGTCCTTGCCCTGTATCCTGTATCCTGTATCTGAACCTGAACTGTAAGTTGCTGACCCGGATTGTACCTGACCACTGCTGAATTCTCCTGCCCAGACCCTTGCTTGCCTGACCTCTCTTCCGTATGTCCCCTATTGGATCTGACCTACTGTTGATGACCTGGCGTGTGACCCGACTATTCTCTGCCCGCTGCCTTGTACCGTGCTGTCCTCCCCGTTACCGACCCGGCTTGCCTGACCCTGCACTTGCTCCACCATCCATCCATCCATCCATCCATTCCTCTCAGCGGGGTTCCCAGACCTCCTCATATCAGGCTCTCTCCCGTGGGAGCCCCTGGCGACCGCCCCTACCACTGACGGGTGTCCTCAGTAAGCACGACCTGGTCCCGGGGTACTCCAAGTCCATCCCCACCATCAGGGGCTCTGGTGAACAAGTACTCTGGGACTTAGACTCCGTGCGCTGGGGACGCCTGATTAGTGGAGTGCTAGTGGTGTCGCCAGGCGGTCCCTTACAGTACCAGAAGGCCATGACTGAGCCTAGAGGAGGGCCCCTCCCCGCTGGAAGAAAT